TCATATATCGTAGGTCTAACTATTAGTATAGTCTTTGTTATTGACAGTACTCTCATCCCTATTCTTCTTCTTATTTCGTCTTTTCGTTACATTCATCTTCTTTAGATAGATGTTGCAACTTTATTATTCCTCTTCATCTATACTACTTCCTCTTTCAGGTAGCGCGCCTCCTTACATTAGAGATTTTATTATTTACCTCCTTACATGTTCGTGTGGTGTGTGCGGAGTGGCGCAGCTCCCACCGCCCCACAACTTTCTATGCCCGCCCGCTGATCAAGTAACGAAGCTCCCCCCAGCGCCCGGCGGCTTGTCACTCATTGCCTCACCTTTTTATATAACTTCGCCTCGCGAACAGCATTTGGTTGGCGTGAACCCAATTTAGCGGGACAAGTCCAATTCATAATATCCTCAAACCCGTTGTGTAGCTGGTTAGGTCCAAGTTGGATCATTTTGAAGGCTCATGTCATAAGTTTCGGATTTTGATGCAAAACCTCGGTTCCCTAAAAAAATCAATTTTGATATCTGACTCCCTACTTGGTATTTAGCATAGATTCACTTGCGTCAGGTGACCCTAACGCTAGAAGATGCGTTCGCGATCTCTCTCTGCTATAGTAACCCGCGGCTTTACTGAGCAGGCCTGCTGCTACAGTAAAGCGCGGGTTACTGTAGACAGAGAGAGACCGAACGCATCTCTCTGTCAGGTGACCTGATGCAATAATTTGCCCTACTTTACACTGAATGGATCATATATACTGAGTTATTTTATATAAAAAAGTTTATGGCAAATAGCTTTGTTCTGTAAGACTAACTTTATTAAATACATTAAAATGAGATTTCATTAAAAACAACTAAATGTAAATTAATCAAATTATTTATTAAATACTTATAGTCCTCGATTAACATATGATTGCTTAAATATATTAAATTAATTTTGAAGCGTAGGGTTGTTGGTTTAGCTAATTATTCTATAATCACTTACTTTACAGGTCAATTTATTAATTAAACTCACTGAAACTGTAACCCTCAGCAGATGATTGCTGCAAGTGGCGACTTATAAAAAATTCGAATGCCGGTTGTTAGCATGATTAACATATAATAATAAACTATTCTATTGGCATTTGAAGAGCGATAATTAACAAATTAATTAATCAAGAGAGAATTAATTAAAATGTTCTTATATTAATCATGATTATGATTTTTTAATTTAATAATTACTAAATTTATTTTAAAATTGTTGTAATACATGATGAGTGATTCAATTTTTTATTTAAAATTATGTTATGCTTTAAAAAAAAATTTATGATGGATCTTAAAAATTATAGATGCATTCGTAAATTAGTATAATACTAATCCCTCATTTATTACACTCCTTTTAAAATGATTCTAATGACTTGAGCCTTTGAGATCTATTACATTAAAATTTAAATAAAAATACTATGAAATAATTTTTTTTTTAACAAAAACAGAAATATATTAATAATCCAAAAAAATCGGATACATCAACTGACAAAAAGGAAAAAACCCAAAAAAAAAAGCAAAAAACCTCTAAAAGCTAAAAAATAACCATGAGAAAAGCTAAAAACTCCCCAAAACAATCGGGGGCTCAGCAGACGACCGAGGCTACCAGCATCTTCGAGACCGCACAAAGACCATCCAGTAGAGGTTGCCACAAAGAGGCGACGAGGACCCGAGCCCCAGCCACATCATTGCCCTGCAACCGACAAACAAAACGAAAATCAAATCGATCCAACGACAAGACCGAATTATCTTTTCTACCGCCTTTACCCCAAAATTTTCCACGAGAAGAACCAGAAATTGGTCTATCACGAACCATTGTATTCTCATTTCCAGGATCTGAATAGGAATCATAATCAGAATCACATTCCGACAAATTATGCAACCCATCACCATGTGATCTAACATCCACACCAGCTTTACCACCCACCTGCAGCTTTAATGAATTGGTAGCAATTATACATTAACAGGAACATCAACCAAATTTTGAAAAAACAGCCAAATTGCCTTGAACATCCGTAATATCAACTCGATTACCATCCGGCATCGCAGCAAGCAAAGAGTTGCGACTCGGTTCAACCTGCTCAACACTCACAGGGCAAACAGTTTCCATCGAAGCAACAGGCTGCACCGCCTCATCACCCAGCAACTGATTAGAAACCATCGGCTTCACCAAACACCCAGCATCCACAGAAATATTCACAGAAGGTTTAACAACAGCAATTTCTTCAGAAATAGAATCAGTTAACAAAGGATTTCCCAACGACCCCTCCGGATTAGCAACCAAAGCAGGGGGAAAGAAAGGCAAAGCATTAGGGGATAAATCTTTAGAAACAATTTAAGAATCAACAATACCAGCGTTAGGAACGTCCGTATCTTCTCTAGCTAAATCAACATTCACCAAAGTAGGCACAATCACAGCATCTTTATTTCCATCCAACGGCTCCACAATAACCGGTGAAACAGTTTTAGCATTAGTCGCTACAGTTTTAGGTAAAACAGAAGCATCTAAAACAACTGCTTTAGTCCTACATTCACCCACAGCATGACCGAAACAAGGACAAGAACTACAAAAAACAGGGAATTCTTCCATGACCACATGCTGCACGTATCCAAGCTTTTCAGACCCCAGCCAAATACGATCAGGATAAGACTTAGTAATATCCAGTTCAACTAAAACCCTAGCTAAAGATGGTCTAGAACCCACAGCCGTAGCCGTATCAATTTTAAGAGGCTTACCAAAGATGGAAGCTAAGCCATGCAGAATTTTAGGAGAGAAAAGATGCGTCCGTAAGGAGGGGAAAGAGACCCAAATCGGAATCTCAGGTGATTCAACCCCAATTTCAACAAAGGGAGACCATTTTGTAATTTTCATAAAACAATTGAAAACCAAATAGGATCTATGACAGAAAATTCGACAATAATCCAAGTCTTGTTCTAATTTGATTAGCACATGGGACGAATCCAGCAAAGTTACCGACACATCACCAGTAAGCTTAAGATTAAAAAAGAATTTACGAATTGATTCAAGAGACGGACATTTCGTAGGAAAAAAGCCAACAAGAGCAAATTGAAAAGGCTTAGCCAAAGCCATGATTTTATCATCCGAAATCCACAAGGAAGGCATACCACGAAAAGACGATACCTTAAGTTTCAGAAATTCATTACTAGAGGAAGATCCCGATAGAGCTTGAAGAAAAGAACGAGAGGAATTCGAAATCCCTAAAAATCCATGATCAACTAGTTTCGGGGCCATCTGGCGCATGCCGGAAAGCAAACCACCAACAAAATCTCAGAGACATGCAAAACAAAACCAGAGGAAAGAAGAATGGAAACTTCCCTGAAAGCCAACGCCACTGCCCCCGACCGGAGAGCGGCACGCCGCCGTCGCAAGGAAAAAACCCTAGCAGAGAGATAATTTTGTTTTTCTTTAAATAATTTTATTTTCTTCATAATGCATTGACATTTTTAATCATATTCTAAAATTTTTGTGAAAGTTTGAGTTATTTTTTAATTTTTTTTACAAACAATTAAATAATGAAATAAATGCAATTTTATAATTTTATTTTTTATTCACAAGTCAACAAAGCTAATTATAAATTAACAATATGCAAAGTCTCAATTTCGGGTCCGGGTTGGCATTTCCGACCCATTTACCTACCCGGGTCGGATTAGGATCGACACGTTTAAATCTGGGTCAGTTCTGAATTCGACCTGAATCGACCCATGACCCGAAATTGACACCTCTAATATAAATTATCTATTTATTTGAGATTCAATTTTTACAAGGTATTTATTTTGGGAAAATTTGGGTACAAGATATTTATAAATAAATAAATAAATAACTCATCAGAAGAATACAGTCTAATAAATACATCGGCCCGACGTTTGTTCCAAAATTGTACTCCATTTACAGCAAAAGGCAAAAGCCACGTAACACGTTGCCACTCCAAATGTCTCGCCCATATCGTTTCCCATGTGATCCTTTTTCCCATCCAAAAAATGATTCAGCACAACTAAGACCTGCCACGTGGATAATACTCCTCTGACTGTCCACGTGGCTGTTTTTAGGATCATTCTGTGGTAGAAGTAATGCTGTTCGCTAGATGTTTGAGATGTTATTCGATCAGTTTTACAAGAATTATTATTTTTAAATTTAATTAAGAATATTTTGATCAAATTTAATTCGAATTTTATATAAAAGAGTAAATAAAAAATTGATATTTTGATTAAAAAAATTGCCGTAATATTTTAAGCTAAAAAATTTAGATTTATTATTATTGCATACTGGAATATTTACGGCAGTAGATAAATATAAAGTTTAACATTTTAGTTTTGTAAAAAAATGCAGAACTCATACAGATAAAAGAGTAGCGTATAATATTCATTAGTGACATCAAAATTTTTATTTCAAAAATTTTTTAAAAAGTGGAAAACTACTGGCCTAACCCAGTGGTTTTTCCCCTTTTTCAGTATCTGATGTTTTTTATGACTGATTTATGTTCTAGATTTTTATATTTATGAGCTAGATTTTTATATAAAATTAGGACGTTAAATTTTATCTCTCTCTGTCACTTGGAATATTCAATGGCCTAACATATGTATATTAGATTGTTAATGAAAAGCTAATACTATTAAGATTTATATAAAGTAAATTTTAATTAGAATATTCGAACTTTTTTTTTCTTTAAGAAACCATCCAGGCTGTCGACACTGGTCGGACCGTCGGAGCCCAGACTTTTTAATCCCCGCAGCCCATCGGCCACGCGCTATTGTAGTCCTGGTTCCTGAAGTCAATCGTTGACCCGTACAGCAACTTTACAGAAATAAAAAATTTTCAGAAAAAAATTGAATTGAAATTCAATAAAACTTATAATATTTTATTAAAAAAATCAATTTTATTTTAATACAATTTAAAAAATTAACTCATGAAAAATGGTAGAATATAAATGCAATAATTTTTTGAATATATTAATTGCCGTTCAGTTAGATTAATTTGTTCACAATTTAAAATAGTTATGCTTCATTTTCAAAATAAATTTTTAGTAAAAATAAAATTTTATTTACCTTTATGTTCGAAGCTGATCAATTAGATTTTTTTGAATTATCAAAGAATTTATTTTTGTGAACAAGTTATAGAGAATATTTCTGAATTTTACTTTTTTTAGAGAATAAAATTTTCGATGAAAATAAAATACAATTCAAATTATTTATCAATTTCATTTTAATTTCCTCTTTCAAATTTCAATCGCTACAAAATCTGAATAGAGGCCAAGTCTAAATTTATTTGAAAAGTCTAACATTAATCATTTAAGATATCACAAAATTGCCATCACCTAACTCTCAATAAATACCCCCATACTTTCTCTACCTTTGATAAAATATACTTGTTTTAATTCCTTAAGAAAACACCCTATCATGAACGCCACCTTCTTCACCTTCTTCCTCTTATCCTTCCTCGCCCTCACCTTCGCTCAACCCTCCTCTCCTCCTCCTCCACCTTCCACCACCCCAATCCCCCCTTCAACCGCCTGCAACTCCACCCCCGACCCCTCCTTCTGCCGTACCGTCCTCCCCCCCACCGGCTCCCAACCCCTCACCTCCTACGGCCGCTTCTCCCTCGCCAAATCCCTTACCAACGCCTACAAATTCCTCTCCCTCATCGACCGCTACCTCACCCGCCGCTCCTCCCTCCCCGAACCCACGGCTCGGGCTCTCGATGACTGCCATCTCTTCGCTGGCCTCAACATCGACTTCCTCACCTCCGCCGGCTCCACCCTCAACTCCACCTCATCCACTCTCCTCGACCCCCAAGCCGATCAGCTCCAAACACTCCTCTCCGCGCTTCTTACTAACCAGCAGACTTGCCTTGATGGCCTGAAAGATGCGGATAAGGCCAATGCAGCCGCCGGCGTTCTCACCCCTTCGATTGTGAATGGAACCAAGCTTTATAGCGTCTCACTCGCGCTCTTCACAAAGGCTTGGGTGCCTAATCGGAAGTTTAAAAATCCGACATTGGCAAAGCATTTAGCTGCTAAGGTGCTTCATCCCCCGCCGGTGAAAGGCCAAAGGAAGCTGCTTTTTCATGAGGTATGTTGACAAATTGAATTACAAAGGATACTTGATTCATTCATGTCTGCATTTTTTTCTTATCTTGCCTAACTCCTTGAAAATTAGAGACACTTAAAAAAACTTAATTTCCTGACAGGTTGAGATCGGCAGTGACGGTACTTTGCCGTTGAGGACGTCGGAGAAGGACCGGGCCATGATTGAGGGCCGGTTGGGCCGGCGGTTGTTACAGTCGTCCGGCTCTGTTCAAATCAGCGCAACCGTGGTGGTGAGCCAAGATGGGACGCAGAATTTTACCACGATTAGTGATGCGGTGGCTTCAGCGCCTAATAATACAGATGGCAGCAATGGCTATTATTTGATCCTTGTAAGCGCCGGCGTGTATCAGGAATATGTGTCGGTGCCGAAGAACAAGCGTTACATTATGATGATCGGCGGCGGGATTAATCAGACGGTTGTGACCGGGAATCATAGCAACGTTGATGGCTGGACCACCTTCAACTCTGCTACCTTCGGTGAGCTTACAATCTCATCTGCATATAATTAATCTTGAATTTACATATATACCACTCTATATTATATATTACTCATCTCTATAATACTCAAAATTTTAACATTACATATATATATCATTCTATATTATATTAATATCAAATATACCACCCGTTTTTCGTCTATATATTTCATTTCTATCACCCATAATATGAAAGTAAATTATAACTGATATGTATGTAATATTAAATAGAGTGGAATATATATAAATCACCCATAATTTAATTGACACTAATTTTAAGATAAATTTCAAAGCATTAGACTTCTTGTGAGATTTTTTTTTTTCGCTTTTCAAACAACAACTATAACTTCTCTTTGACTATAACTTTTTAATTGTTTTTTTTTTTTAATTTGTACAAAAAAGATAATCAACTCTATAAAAATTGTAATCATCTCAAACGGACTCTTAAGAGTCTATTTGAGATTTTTGCAACATTTTATAAAGATTTTTTTGAAGTTATTGAGCGGAAAATAATTTTTTAATTTAAATCAAACCAATGCTTTTTAAAAGCTACAAAAAAATTAGTAATTTTAGTTATAAAAAATATCTTCTCGCCATAAAAATTTCTAACAATTAATAAAAGGCTAATAAAAATAATTAAATAAAAATATGATTACATTGTAAGAAAAAGGGTAAGAACTATCTTGAGTAGGAAAAATTATTATGTGTGGACGTCAAACGTTATCCAGAGACCAATCAGAATGTGTCATGCACGTCATCCCTTTGTTTGGTATCGTGGCTCGGTACTGTTCTGTACCACAGCTCGGTACTGCTCCGTACCACAGCTCGATACCACTAATTTGACTGCACTTGATTCTACTCCGAATGTAGAGTTGCATCCAACATTCATAAGAATAATCTCTCCCTGAATAGGCGCAAAGTTATATTCTAATTGGTTTTTTAATAAGAATATTCCTACATAACTTTTTTCTCTAATGTATATTTTTTTATATAAAATTAAAAAAAAAATATTGCACAATTGTAACGTGCATGTGTTGATTTTAAATACTAATAATTAAAATATTTGTTCTGTTTGACATGGCAAGTTGGCAGCTATATTTTTCTCCAACGTCCGCCGTTGATTCTTTTCGTGCGCTGGCGGGTGAAAAGAACATCCCGTCTTGCTGCCGTTGAATAGAAGAAACGTGAAGGGAGTTTATACACCATCCGTCGAAGTATTTAAATACTAATAATTTAAAAACTAAAATTAAATATTTATTATTATGACGCAGACTATAATTTTTTTTATTTAATTTCAAATATATCCTCTGTAAATTTCATTATCTTAAACTTCTATCTGACGCCTAGCCGTTAAGAGATGCCAACACTTTTTTTTTTGTTTTTTCTCCGTTACAGCTGTAGTCGGCCAAGGCTTCGTAGCAATAAACATGACATTCCAAAACACCGCCGGCGCCGTGAAACACCAGGCCGTCGCCGTCCGAAACGGCGCCGACCTCTCCACCTTCTACCTCTGCAGCTTCGAGGGCTATCAAGACACTCTCTATGCCCACTCCTTGCGCCAATTCTACTCCCAATGCCTCATCTACGGCACCGTCGACTACATCTTCGGCAACGCCGCCGTCGTCTTCCAGAACTGCAGTATGTATTCTAGACTTCCCTTGAATGGCCAGCAGAACACCATCACCGCTCAAGGCCGAACCGACCCGAACCAGAACACCGGAATTTCAATCCAAGGCGGAAATTTCCTCGCCGCCGGCGATCTCGGCTCGACTCGGACTTACCTCGGGCGGCCGTGGAAGCAGTATTCGAGGACGGTGATAATGAGCGCGTTTATGGGTGGGTTGATTGACCCGGCGGGGTGGTTGCCGTGGGACGGGGACTTCGCGCTTAGTACGTTGTATTATGCTGAGTATGATAACAGCGGGCCGGGCTCAAATACGACCGGGCGGGTCACTTGGGCTGGGTACCATGTTTTGACTAACAGTTCGCAGGCAGTAAATTATACGGTGAGCAACTTTATATTGGGTGATAATTGGTTGCCGCAGACGGGCGTCCCGTATACGAGCGGGCTGGTTTGAGGAATTGGTGGTGATTTATTGGTGTTTTATGATTTTCTGTTACTGTTGTAAAAGATGTAGTGAAATTCATTTTTTTATAGAGGTGAAGAAATTGAGAAATATTGCTTGTATTTTGTTAGTGTGGATAAAATATTTATTTTAATTATTGTAATAGAATTCATGTAGAAAAATTAGGCTTTTAATAAATTATATAATTATTTTTTACTTGTATTGTATCATCTTTTTAAATTACATGGAAGAGTGAATTATTATATTTTTTAATTATATAGTAGACTATTGCAATTAGGATAAGTCATTTTTCTCTGCATCTAATGAATCTTTGCATAGAATTAAAATATTAAACATTTCGTAGTGTCGCACAGTCGTTGCAAATTTTTTAACATGTAATGATTATCTTTTTATTATTGATATGTTAAACAAAAATTCTCATGATTTAGCATGAATTTTGAGGTGAATTGTAGTTAAAAACTTATTGAATTAAATTCAAAATTATTTTATCTCCGGTTTCAACAAGTTCATAATTGAACATAATGTCTCAATGAGAAGAATCCAATAATATCAAAAATAGTTCAATCAGAGCCAAAACCAAACACTTACTACAGGAAACCAAGTTTTTTGCAGAGGACAAAATTGCCACAAAATCATAATGCTCATCTTAAAAAAACTTATAAATAGACTCAATTATGAGAAAAAGAGAACTAGAGAGCTCTCTTGTATTTTTTAGCTATCTTCGCTAATGACTACCACCAGTTATTGCTAACGACAACGACCGTTGTGGTTGGCGATCACCATCAGTGATCGCCGACATCATTAGACTCTTATCAATAATTCAAGATTTAACCATTTTGTTGTATTTTAATTGTCCACTTTTGGACACTATATTTCTGTAATATGTATAAAGGGAATCAAGTCCTGCTATTGGATGTTAGTTGTTTATTTATTAACACTTGATCATTTATGTAATTCCTCTCAAGAAATATCAAACAATTTATTTTGAAATAATCCCCTCTTCTTTAGCTTATGAGGAAGACAGGCTTCTTGCATTACCACCTTATAGTAGATTTTTTTAATTGGCATAGGCCCTAGGCCACGTGTTTTTTCTTTTTTTGAATTTTTCATGTAAAAATTTTCTGATCTTTTATTTTTATCTCTGCATGTTGAATTTTTACACAATGTTAAAACATAAAATATATACTATACGACTCAAATTTTTTAGCACAGTAAATTATAATATTGATACGTGTTTAATTCTACGTAAATGTATGCATCTGTTGAGTTTATTGGGATCTTACTGACTAAATTTTCGTCTATAAAAAGAGAGAGAGAGAGAGGAGCTTTGTGATTCCTTATTGTGAGAAAGTAAAGAATTAGAGACAATAATTTGTCTATAAAATTTTGCACTCTGATCCCTTATTTATAAGCGAGGTAGAGGCTTAATTTTATTTTTTAAAAAGTACATTTAAAAAAAATATAAATTACTAAATATGTTTATGAATTGTAGAGCTTTTATAATTATAATACACATGAAATGAGTTTAAATATTCAACGAAAATTTATGCATGTAATTAAGGAAGGATGGTTAAGTGAGCATATATCGTAAATTAAATATTTTATCACGAGTAAATTATAATTTAACGAATCTAAATTATTTTCTTTAGACATAATTAGCAAATGCAAATTACTTTAGTTATATTTTTACTAACTCATTTTTTTAAAATAATACATTAAATTAATAAGATAATTTTAAAGTGTTTTTTATTGAAATGAACTAAAATAAAAAAGACTTTTTAAATTACTAAATGGCGTGAGGTAGATTTTATTATATCATTTATATATTGATTTTTTAATATAATTTTATCATATAATCCGCACGGGTCGGGTCCGAATTGAGATAATCGACCCGTTTGCAAAAACGGGTCGGGTTCGGGTTGACCCATTTAGAGCCGGGTCAACTCGGGTTCAACCCGAACCCGACCCATCGACCCGAATTGACACCGCTATCTACAATGAAGTGTTTTGGATTCTAGTTCAAATTACCATAATGCTCATCTTAAAAAAACTTATAAATAGACTCAATTATGAGAAAAAGAGAACTAGAGAGCTCTCTTGTATTTTTTAGCTATCTTCGCCAATGACTACCACCAGTTATTGCTAACGACAACGACCATTTTGTTTTAAACCATCCTTTCTCTGATCTTTAGAATATTTTGAGCTGTGAATGCCCTGCATCCATTCAATGTTATACCATTTAAAGTAAACTTAGGCACTTAGCTATGTGACAGTTTTAAAATCACCTTTGCTATTGACTTCTAATTTTAGATTAAGAAAACATTTAGGTGCAATCTAATTAAGCAACTGGATGCTGCTTCAAATTCAGAATTATTTGAGAATCTCATCCAGCTATATTGAGAATATTGAATGAGAAGAAACCTAAGAAAATCAAGAGAGAGAGAGAGAGAGAATTGTAGGATGAGATGTTTTAGATTTCTACAAAATAAATTTTGAAATACACTAAAAATGAGCGATACATTAATTTAGAGATTGAACAAATCTAACGATTTTGAAATACAGTAAAAATGAATAAGAAATGGGTTCCAAATTCCTAAAAAAAAAAATTTTGAATTGATTTTTCATCAAACCAAATCAAATGCCAATATTTATAAAATTTCAACATTTAAAATATGGTATGCCCAAATCTAGGGCTGTCAAAATGGGGTCACAGGTCGGATTCGAGTCCAACTTGAAATTGATCTGACACTGTTCGACCCGATCCGAACCCAAACCGTTGTTGCAAACGAGTCGATTTTTCGGACCCGAACCCGACCCGCTTCGAGTCAGGATCAACCCACCCTGAATCGCTTTGGGTCTGGGTCAACCCACACCCGTCCAGCTTTGGGTATTTTTTACTAATTTTTTTTATTTAATTCGATTTATTTAAACATAAATCAAATTAAGGTAAGATTATGTTCAATCAATTTAAAATAAACAAAACTTAATTCAATTTGGGTAACATGATTTATTATTTTTTAAGTCCATAGCTTTGGACTTGTGGAGTTATTAGGTGTGAATCTCGTTCTGATTTTAAGAAGTTTGGATTTTTAGCGATGTTTTGTTTCGCTCCGCTAGGGTTTTTTTCTCTCAGCTAGGTTTCCGCCGCCTTGTCTTCTCCGACGAGGTTTGTGGGCCTTCTCTCCCCGTTTGTGGGTCAGGTATCTCTTATCCCTGATGGCTTCTGTTCGTCTTTGCGACCCTGGTTTTTTATGTGGGGCTTCCTCGCCTCTCTCATTTAAAGAAGCTTTATCTGGATCTTCTTCTTCTTTTCCTGATCTAAATGTGTCTTCGCATCGTGGTTTACCGGCTTTATTAATTTCTGAGGATGAGTTGCGTTCGCTTGTTGTTCCTTTCGATTTTGCTTTGGTTGGCCGTTTTCCGAGTAGACGCCCCTCGGTTGATGCTATTAGGAAGTTTTGTTTCAATTTAAAATTGATAGGGGATTTTTCGGTTACAGTTCTTAATCAACGGAATGTTTTGATTAAATTGGTGAATGACTTTGATTATTGCTGGGTCTTCGCTCATAGATCGTATTTTGTTCAAAACTGCTATATGAAAGTGGTAAAATGGTCACCCAATTTGGAAGTTGAGGTTGATTCTCCCATTGTGCCTATATGGATTTCTTTCCCCCTTCTCAGGCCGCATCTTTTCTCTCCTAGAATCTTGTTCGGTTTAGGTTCGATTTTTGGTCGTCCTCTTAAGTCGAATATGGCCACGGCGTCCGGTTCCTGTCCGTCTTTGGCGCGTATCCTTGTTGAGTTGGATGTTACTAAAAAACTTGCTGATAAAATTTGGGTTGGCTCGCCTGAATCGAGATATTTTCAGAATGTTATTTTTGATGAGATTCCTCATTTCTGTGGTCATTTTAGTTCATTAGGTCATACTAAGGATCTATGTCCTATCTTGCATCCTTCTATAAAAGTCCCGAAAACTGGGGTTGCCCAGTGTGGGAAGCCGGAGTCGAATGCCCCTGTTGACGTGAATTTGGATCTCTCTAGTGAGCTTAACACTGGTCTGGATGTTGATGTCAATAAGTTGGTTGCTGTAAATTTCTCGGAGGCTGCTGAAAATGTTGTGTCTCCTAATGCGATTCCTTTTATTCCTGCGTGTGGGGTTGATGGTATTGGTCAAATGGTTGAGGCTTTGCCGAAAGGTGAGTTGGTGCCGGAAGGTAATGAATTGGTGGTTTCTAACTCTACTTTTCCTATGACTATTCCTGTCGAGTGCGGAGGTGGTGTAGTTGTTGGCGTGGAGGACTCTGATCGATTGCAGAAGAATGTTTTGAATGTGGACTCTAAGGTGGGTGGTCAGGGGGTTGTTTCGGATATGCAGGAATTGGTGATCAATTCGCAAAACCTGGTTAATGTTCCAGTTATACTATCGGGTGGGAATATTAGACCTAATGCTGATTGGTTGAATAATTCGTCTAAAGGCGACTCTGATTCTGAATTTTATTCAGATCCTGGCGAGGAGTTTAAATTGGTTCGTGAAAAAACTCTTAAGGTTGCTTCTCGGGGCAAATTTTGGAATCGAGGTGGCAGAAGAAGATAATTTCTTTTTCTTTTTGGATTGTTTTTTGGGGTTGAACGGTTTGCTCGACGTTTTGGATTGGAGATTGCGGGGCAATGATGTGGCTGGGGCTCCTCTCCTCATCGGCTGTATTGTGGCAACCGTTGGTGATTTTCACTCGTCTGGATGGTCCTTACGCGGATTCGAGGTGCTGGGAGTCCCGGCTATCTGCTGAGCTCTCTTTTTAGATTTAATCTCCTGTGGTTTTCATCTATTTTGGAGTCTGTAGCGACGTTTTGGATTGGAGATTGCGGGGCAATGATGTGGCTGGGGCTCCTCTCCTCATCGGCTGTATTGTGGCAACCGTTGGTGATTTTCACTCGTCTGGATGGTCCTTACGCGGATTCGAGGTGCTGGGAGTCCCGGCTATCTGCTGAGCTCTCTTTTTGGATTTAATCTCCTGTGGTTTTCATCTATTTTTGAGTCTGTAGCTTTTTTGGGACTTCTGTGAGCTTCCCTTTATTTGTTGTACCTCATGTTTTATTATTAAAAAAAAAAAATCAGTGAAAAAAAAAATGATTTATTATTTTTTGAAAATATTATTTACTTTTTTTATAACAATTTTTTAAAACTCTCATAAATTAATTAAAAAAGGATCAAATCGGATTGATTTCGTATTTTTGGATCAACCTGAATCCGACCCGATTTCACAAACGGGTCAAAATCCTATCTGAATCTAAAATTTTCAAGTCGGGGTAGTGTCAAATTTGACACCCCTATCCGAATCTTTCAAATTAAACGGCCCCTTAAAAATGTTCAGATTTATAATGAATAAAAAATTAGTTAAAATATTCTCAGCATTTTTTTAAAATATAAAGGCAAGCCGTTGACGTGGTCTCCTCCATCTTTCTTCCACCCACCACGATAAACTCTCAATAACCACCAAGTCCTAACAATTAACAAATCCCCTTTTCCTCTAATGAATCCCCCCTCCTTCCTCGTTCGCCACCTCAAAACCTTAATGGCTTCATACTCCATCCTCGCCTTCCTCATCACCCTCCTCATCTCCCTCCTCATCTCCGCCGCCGCCGCCCACCCGGCCATCCCCTCCCTCATCCACAAAGCCTGCAGCCAAACCGCATCCAATCTACAAAAACTCTGCATCTCCTCCCTCTCCGCCGAACCGCCGTCTGCCAACGCCGACCTCCGCCTACTCTCCATCATCTCCGTCCGCATTGCCGCCAATAACGCCTCCCAAACCGCCGCTTATCTCTCCGCCCAACAGACGGACGCCGCAGCCTCCGGCGCCATTGATCCAATGCTCTATCAATGCGTCGCCGATTGTACAGATCTGTATGTTGATGTCGCCGAGCAGCTCGACGTGACGACGGCGGCCATTGATGATGAGGCCGATAAGGATGCGATGATCTGGCTGAATGCGGCAATGGCGGATGTGATTTCTTGCGAGAAAGGGTGCGGTGCGGTGGCGACGGCTGAGATTAGGAGAAGGAATGATGGGGCGAAGAAGCTGCTGAATATAACAATTTCTTTTACTAAGCTCCTTATGGCTCCGAAGGGACTGTGAGGGATTTTTCTCTTCTGTGATGATTTCATTTTGCAAGATCATAATATTTATATTAAGGAAAATTACCTTAATTAGTACAAAAAATATAAGTTGCTTACGTGGGCTTCTTTTTTTTTTGGATCTCGACAATGGTGAATGAGATATCTCCAATTCTCAACCCACACTTGCAGGAGAAATTATTATATGCAAAGTCTGGACATGAAGAATTATCCGAATTGTGAGTATACACATTATGTACAAACAATATGTATAAAAATTTGATACATATTATATACGCTAGCTCACAATTCGTATGATTCTTCCAGTCCGAACTCGACATGGAATAATTTCTCCGCCTCCAAGATGTGGATGGACAATAGGACAATCAGGTCTGCAAGGAACTTCTCTTCCTTGCCATACATTATAATGTTGGAAAAATATTGTTTCTCTTTGACAAATTTTGAGTCTTTTTTTTTTTGTTGGATTCTATTTCAATTTCATTATGGGAGTTCCTTTTTTCCTTGTGAGCTTTGCTATTTTTTATTGCAGCTTATGAGCATTGATATCTCTATTGAGTTGAGTTGTATGTTTTTTGCATTTGTAATTTTGTAACTATCCTTCATGCTAAATGAACGGATTAATTTAACGTCATTTTTTTTAACTAGGGTGGGTGATCTTAATAGGAAAAGCTCTAGATCGCTCTAATTAAATAATACAACAACAAAAACAAATCTTTATACTACTAAGTGGGGTCGGTTACATCGATCTTTTTTTTTTTCTTCCATTGTTTCTTGTTAAGATCGAGTCAAATTCTCATCTAAATCTAATAAAGAAATGTAATTTATAATATTATCTAACAAAGTCTTTTTAGGCCTACCTCTACCTTCCTTAACATAATTCATATCTAATACATCTACTTTCCTAATCATATCACCAGAAGGCCGCCATTTTACGTGACCAAACTATCTAAGGCGACTCTCTCTAATCTTATCTTCTGCTGGAGCTATTTCAACCTTTTCACATATATACTCATTTCATATCCTATCTCTAAGGGTAAATCCAATTTTTTTTTTTTTCCATTGGTTCTTGTTAAGAGTCAAATTCTCATCTAAATCTAATAAAGAAAGGTTATTTATAATATTGTCTAACAAAGTCTTTTAGGCCTACCTCTACCTTTCTTAACATAAGTCAAATCTAATACAGCTACTTTCCTAATCATATCACCAGAATGCCGCCATTTTACGTGACCAAACTATCTAAGGCAACTCTCTCTAATCTTATCTTCTGTTGGAGCTATTCCAACCTTTTCACATATATACTCATTTCATATCCTATCTCTAAGAGTAAAGCCACTCATTCACATGAGCATCCTCATCTCTGCATCACTTAACTTAATATTATGCTTCTTTTTTAATGGTCAACATTCTGCACCATAAAACATTGCAAGTCTCACTACCATCTTTTAGAATTTTCTCTTAAGTTCGAGAGGGTCTTTTCTATCACACAACAAGCCCAATACATTCCTCCACTTCTACCAACCAACTTGAATTCAGCTAATAATATCCCCATCTATTTACTCTCATTAAAGAACGAGCAATGAAATTTTTTCCTTCATATAAAATTAATATATATTGATATATTTTTATGTAAGTCACAGATAAAAGAATAATTTTACATCAACATTATTTTTTATAATATTATAAAATCTGATTTTAAATATTTTTGCATTTTTTTAGTCATAAAAAATAAATAGTTTATGTGAAGATGAATGGAAAATGTTTATTTTATTTACTCAGTTAAGTCAACACATTTGCAAATCACCTCTAAGGTTTACATATTTGTTTTTTTGCTTTCTAACGGCTTTCTTGTTTATCCTTTATTAAGCTCCTCTTATATGATGCATGTCATTTAAAAAAAAAATTATTGAAATATATTTCCTTTGTGATTGTGATAAAATATTGCCATACTCACTATTATGTGTTAAAAAATTTGAGTCAGTAGAGTGTGTGCTTATATTTAAGCATTGTATAAAAATTCAACACGTACAAATAAAAATAATAAGATTAGAAAATTTTATACGTGAAAATTTCGGAAATGAAAAAAATTACTGGGAATTCATTATATAAAAATCCTTCATTCCTGATAGGCTAAAGAAGAGAGGTTTATTTGGAAATAAATGTCTAATTTATATTTAGGAGAATTACAGAAATCAAATGTTCATAGATGAACAATTAACATTCATAGTATGGTTTGATTTTCTTTTTAGGGATTACAAAAATATGGTGTCGACAATGGGACAATTGAAACCCAACAATAGGGTTAAATCTTGACAATAGACTAAAGATGGTGACGATTATTGAAAGTGATCGTTGGGGGGAAATGGTGGTTGTTAGTGGCAATTGTAGTGGTGATCGTTAGCGGCGATAGCTAAAAAATTCAAGAGAGCGGTCTCCTTTTTGTCTCCATCTTATGTGAAGAATGAGGTATTTATAGGCTTTTTTAGATAAGCATTTTGAAAAATTTAACAAGAATTCAAAACACTCCATCATACGGTCGGTACCGATTCCTCTGATTATAAAAGCATTTTTCAGCATTCAAGTGCCTTAATAATGTCATAATTCAGTGATCTTGGGCTCGTTGGATTCATCTCGTCAAGCCGCTCGATTTTAGTTTATATTTTTAAGAAAATTAAGTTCTTTTTTTTTTTAAGATTCTTTTTAGAGATTTTTTTTTCTTCTTTTTTATGAAGATTTTTTCAAGAGAATTTTTCTTTTCAAGAGAACTTTTTTTTAATTTTATTATTATTTATATAAATCTTTTATTTAAAGTTACGTAACTCTTTGATTTGCCAAAAGGAGATTACATAACTCAAGTATCAAAAGATTTATGGTTAACACCAATAAAAAGGCTTGATTTTCTTTATAGGGATTATAGAAGTATGGTGTTCACAAGTGGACAATTAAAACACAACAAAAGAGTTAAATTTTGACAAGAGTTTGAAGATAATGGTGATTACTAACAATAATCGCTGACGATAGTGGTTGTCAGTAGCAATAGCTGGTGCTTGGTGCTAATCATCAGTGTCAATAGCTAGAAAATGCAAGAGAACTCTCTATATATTTTCTTTTTGCCCCCTCTCATGTGGATAATAGGTTATATTTATAGACTTTCTTATGGGTATTTTTATTACGTGAACAAGAATCCAAAACACTTCATCTTATAGTCTATATTGATTCCTTTGATAATGAAGTATTTTTTTCAACATTTATCTTAATGATGTTAGAATTGAGTGATCTTAGGCTCGTTGGATTCTTCCAATCAAATAACTCGATTCAACCATAAGCACATCAAATTTAGTGTTCAAATGATAATAATTTTAATTTTAATTTTTCTAATTCAAATATTTCCTTGAGATTCATATAGATTATACAAATTTTCTAGAGTCATATCACTGACATTGCCTTATTAATAAATCATTCAACTTGACTTAGCTCATTAAACTTATATATATATATATGCATTTTGTTCAAAATAGAATTTGATGTTCACAAGATATCATGTAGACACGAAACCTTGATGATGTCAATGTTTCTTCGTTAGTTATCTTCTTATCTAATCTAGACTTCATTTGAGATAATTTTGTTGCTTCTCTCTATAGTAACTTTCTAGTATAAAATTTTCTTAGAAACAAGTGACCAAAAGCTGACTCAAACGAAATCTTAGCTTCATTCTCAACCAATTTAGTTTCCCAAATTCTGTACCACTAGTACAAAGTAAGTCTTTCTATTTATTATAAGCACATGTTGCTATAGTTGCACAATAGTATAGCCCATTCATTTATATTCTCTTTATCATCTTTAAAGTAAAAACAAATAGAGATGCAGATATGAAGAAAGTTGACAAGTAGTGGACTACTGCCAAAAAATAGAAAAAAAATCGAGGTGGCTTCAAGGAAACAGACAGAAGAACAGTGATGATTACATACATTCTTCAACACCTTTGAGGTGGCATTGCCTTCTATGGTCAACTTTCTTGTCATATCTTTTTATTCATGATAAGATTGACATATTGACATTGGAATTTTCTTTGATTTTCTTGGCTTTCCATATCGCCCATCTTGAAGTCTTAATTTGGAGCTTTTCAACGAAAAAAAAGTCTTAAATTTGAAATTTATATATACTAGTTAAGCTAAAGTAAGTATTATTTCTCGTCTGATCAATATAATACTTTATTATTATATTACTTGATTCGATACATATACTTGCATATATTACGTTGAAATATTATAATTTTTATATCAAAGAAAATCTACGCATTATTTAGATATTGATAAAACCCTAAAATTTACTTCATCATTCAATAGGTTTTGAATCCATAATCTTATTCAATTGATAAAAGGAGTACAACATCAAGTGGCCAAAAGCTAGCGGGATAAAAATAGGACTTAGGAATGGAGACCCTGCACCAACCTCGCAGTCAAGCACGAACCATTCGTAGGTGACAGCTATACCAGCACCATAAATATGATATACATGAAGTATAATATGTTTACTATTATCGACGAGATCAATCTTTCATATTTATATCTTTGTTCTTAAACTTTAAAATATGTTCCAAACAATTGAACAGAAATAATGGTGTGATCTTTCAACTGCAGGTGTGCAGGAGACGCATAAATTTTTTATACATTTAGTTATGCTTATGCAACTATTTTTTCTTATTTTTTACATAATTATGTTAAACAGTATAGTTGACTCATTGACAATGGAATTGAATCATAGGCTAACAATTTATTTACCATAGAACCAGAACAAACAAATCAACAAAGAGTATAGCATCAAGCAAACACTCAATTCTATGTGAAGAAATCAAAATCTACTAAGAAGCATCAAAATTGAGAAGGTTGAGCAGACCAATACAGAAAAATATAAGAAGAAAAGTGATGGATACTCACCCCATCCATCTTGGCTTCACCTTAATTAAACTCCCACTTTCCTTTCTTTAGGAACAGCACTTTGACA